AAAAAAACAAGTATACACAGCCTCAACCTGAATAAGCTGACCACTGAAGTATTTAGTGGCTAGAAAACAACATATTTTCTGAAGAATTTGAGAGCTCTAATCCAAGTATGAACACTGAACCCACATTCCCCAGTGGTCATGAATACAGGTGGGAATGAATATAATTGTTGTAGGCTTAGAAAAGAAGCTGGTTGCAACATTTTACTTAATAATTTAGACAAAGCATATTATTCTTTTTCAGATTTAAAGACTTAACAAACATACAATTGCTCTCTCATATAACCCATCACAATCATCAGAATGATTTACAGTCTTCTTGCTGTTATTTAATATTGAGGAAAACAGTGAATAAAAGAAATGTGGCAAAACAAAATATATGCAAACGTCGGAAAGCTAAGCTACACGGCTGGACCAAACGTCCAAGTGGAAACTTGACACTACTCACGAATACATGTGTCCCTTTGCTGCTGTTTGGGTTTTCAGTTAGTTTGATCATAATGGTCACAATACCAAAATGTTCTGCTGAAAAATGTATAACCTTAATGTTCTGGTCAAATTAAAGAATAGGTTAAAACATGAAGTGGCAATGAATAAAAAAAAGGTCCCTACAGCCTGTACGATCGATTATTCTTCCTGTGAATGGGTGCACTCTGTATCGCTCATTTTCTGGGTTTTTTATAGAAAACAAAAATTCCGATCCTGCTTGTGTAAATTTTTTTAAACTGCATGTATGCAGCTGATTCTGGAGCTGACCTAAAAAGAGTATTTTTCTTCTTCCTCTTCCTTTCTTTCGGTGTGTTTACTGTGCTTGCAGGATGTGTTATTGGTTTCCATTCTCATACGAGTGCACTGACCTTCTTTGACTATTCTCCATGGACTGAATAAAGTATTGTGCAGTCTCAAGTGGGGGAAGCGCTCATCCTCCTGGAAGCTCTCATTCAGTCTGCAGAGGATTGGGGAGATGGTAGCATGGCCGAACCTGAATGCGGCTGCGGCGAACACGTTGGCGATAGAGGGGTCCACAGATGGATCGTACCCCCTGTAGGGACCAATGTAATGTTTGAAGGACTCTGGGCCAATGATTTTTGGAGCATAGTCTCTTAGGGTTATGATCTGGGAATCAAAAAAGAAAACGGATGGACATCAGAAAAAGGGAAAAAGCGCAAAAGATTTTATGTGTCTATCACCAAATTCTAAAGTCTATACTGAGTTTGAATAGAAGCATACTTTACAAATAAATACAAAATATCCTCTTTGAATACCTGAAATGATATCTGTGAATGTGTATATACATACAGCTAAAGGAATCCCTGTAGGATTACCAGTGAAATGTCTACTTGTATAATAACGCTGGCTGTGATTGCACGCTTGTTTCCTCACGGTTTACTGCAGAGAATTTCATCTGTCCTCATCACTATTTATAAATGCCTCACTTCAGCACCCGAATCTCGACTCATGTCACAAGGGTGCAACCCCACACACACAAAAATGCACGGAAGCCAACACATACATTAGTGAGATATCGTCCATCATTTTTACATCAGTTAGTTATTTATTGCAAAAGGAAGCACTGGAACCACACACAGTAAAATAACCAATTTGGATTTTATGCACATTTTTTAGATGAAATGATTAGAGCGCAATGGGAAAGATGGAAAAACCAGGTATTCCCCTCAGGGTTTATGTGGCCCACACAACCTTCACCAATACAGAGTTTAGCAGGTCTAAACTCTGTACTGCCTAAACAGAAAAAAACAGGAGGAAAAAAGAAAAGTCAGAGAAAAGTCACAGTGACAACTGACAGAAAATCAGCTCAAATTCATATAAGATTTTTTATGAACTCAGGCCACATCACATCTGGAATTTGGCTCCTGGAAAAACAATTCAAAGAGGTTTTGAGCATGACTGAAAAGTGAGAAAAAAAAACTTTCCTCAGGTTCAAGACAAGAAACTGAAGTATCTACCAAGTACAGGAGCCCAGTGAGTCACATATTACAGGATAGTAACCAAAACCATATATTAGACTATTGCAGTCCACCAATTACAGATCAGACAGGCTGATCAGACATTACATTAAAACTATCAACAAGTGAAGTTAATAAAATTCATCATCATACTAAACTGGAATGTGCTGCTGGTAACACTGATGCAAACCGTTTACTCATTCCATGGCGACTCCAGCAGCCTCCCATTGCAGACACATGCAGATACATCACAAAACTGCAAAATAATAACTTAAAAACAGGAAATATCCCAAGGTTTGAACCCTCAATCCACAGAGGGCCCACTTTACAATTCACAGGTTGCAAAGGACCAACTGTCAAACACCTTAATGGATCTCATTTCCAGGCCTCAGTGGGTCAAAGCTGTTTTAGCAGCGTGAAGGCCACGTATACAATCTTATGCAGGTGGTTTTCATGTTGTGGCTGATGAGTGTTGGGTTTAGTATTCCATTTAATGAGCTTGTGCTTGTGTTCAACCTTTCACACACTTCATTTTATCTCCTTTACAACATGCCAGGCTTTTTTTTCCTTTTTTTTTTGCTTGAAATTTATTCCTCACCTTCTAATTCACCCAGCTGCATTATAAGAAGAAGGCTCCTGGAAATGTAATCCATACTGTACTAGGGGTTAAAAGCCAGGCTATCTTGGGATGGCCTTTGATTTTTCTGGCTTGGAGAAAGCCCCAAACCTTAATAAAAGTGCAGTACGGAATTTTAAAAGAGCTCCTTTAATAAAATAACAAGTAAATTCACAGAATTATTTTCTAATTGTTATTGCACGCTGTATGATTTGCAGTTGAATTGAATTTTCAGATAATGAAGCTCATAAATGTGATGCTGTTCAACAGCTGAGGCTCTTACTTAATGGACTGAAGCACTTTAGGCGAAGCAGGTCTGGCCCTTCAAACTGTATCGTTTTTTTTTCTCCTTTCTTTTTAACAATAATTCTCCCGCTATGTCTCTCCCACTTTACAACTAAATAGAACATAATGATATTGCCTCTACACTTCTGGAAAAGCAAAAGCCCTTCACAACTGTGCACTGTGATTGAAGTCAGAATGAAACCAGATGTTGTTAGCTGATCATTTCTTGTTTCCTGCAAATAATAGACTTTCTCTCTGTATTGAAATGGCTTCTGACCTTTCAGTCTGTTTGTTCTGCAAGTCTTGTAGAGTGATGTTTTGAAGTGGCTGCCCACAAACAGTCTACTGGAAACAAAGTACGGATAGTTTCACCTGCCTGCTCCCCACTGTTTTCACTCACAGCCTGAGCTGCAGATTTTATGTTACTTTTTTAGTACATGGGAATATTTAATGATACAAAATAATAACACAAACCTTTTGCTGACTCGGGTGTAAAGCTTTTCATTAAGTTGTTTCCATATGGTGACCTATTTAAGTGTTTTCTTCTAATTAGAGTACGTTGTGAGTGTGTGCATTTCTGGCTTTGATTTTTATGTCCATGCTAAAATGTGTAATCTTCAAAGAAATGTTTTCTGTATATACTTTAAACACCCAGTCTCTGTTAGTGTTGTAGCATACCCGGTGTAGGAGGAGCAATGCAGTACGACAGCCACACGGTCAAACAATGTAAACATCCATAACATATTTGCTCGCATTCCTGTTGATGTCCAACCAGAAGAAAACAAATCTCCATTTCTATGCAGATCAGTTAAATTAGATTTTTATAATTAGTATTCCAGTACAGTTAGAATGGAGGGGGCAACTGACCAATATTTTTGGATTTATAACTCTGACATAAACAGTGTAGCCACAGAAACATACTACGTCTGCAGGTATGCATCTACTGGCATCCGCCTTAAAACACTTCCCAGCCTAATTGCTACCTACAGTACCTTTGGCCTCAAAGTGGGTTTTTCTGTTAGCAATTACTGATGTAGTGCATAATTTAAAGCATTAAAGTTGTGCTTTTACAGTAGCTTGTCAAGAATAATGCAAAATGAAAACAGCATTCTAAAAAACACTCACCCCGTGTGAGCTTGTTTGTCGGGAACAGCTGCAGGAGGATTTTAAAGTGGGGTGGAGGGGGTGGAGGGCTTCGTGAGAGCTGCTGGGATTCAACCATATGGACCGAAAAGCACAACAAGGAGCTGATAGCTGCTGAAAGGACTGCAGTTAGATGCTTTTCCCCCCAGAGGGACACAATTACAGCAAACTTCCACATTACAGGAAGACATTTCAGTCCTGATATTAAAGATCGTTCTCAGTGGCGCTGCTATGTATGCCTCAATTATTATTAAGAATTAGAAGTTAATAACTGTGGCAGGTAAGTTGTTTAGACAAGTGTTACTGAATGGTTTCTCGAACACTCTTGCATCTCGAGTGACCCTGTTTAGTTCCTATCTGTTTATTTTGGTTGGTTTCTTTCTCACCTGATCAGTGATTGACAACGTTAACGACGCCTACATCAAGTTCCAGTATTTTTATTTTGCATACAAGAGCTCACACTTAATGGAAATGAGTCACTGTTAACAAAATTAGTTTCATCTGTGTTTTTTCTCTGTTGGCTCCACAGAAAATGTCTACTGTGGAAAAAAAGCAAACATGTTTTTTTTTCTCTAATTAACAACTCATTAGACTGAAAACCTGATTAACCGTCAACATTTTTACCAGAAAAAGGCACAAAAACTACACCAGTTCCTGAAAACTGAGAATGTCTATGAATAGTCAGATTTGCTTAGGAAAGTTTCACAATTAAAAGCTGGTCAAAATCTCTAAATAATAAGGAAAGGTGGGTCTTTATTACATCTTTTACCAAAAGATTCACTGGACTATCCTTCCTATGAAATGAAAGCAAATAATTACTGCTCTAATTCATGAAAACAGTGAACAAAACGAAGTGGTGCAGATCATGTCAATCTTAAATATAAGCATGTTTTCTGTTTCATGCCATAACCTGCTGATATGTTTTCCATTTTCAAAAATATCCTGTTAAACCCAACGTAATGCTGCTGTAATAAAATCTGCTACTTGTCCAGTTGCTGCCTTGCATGAAGAAAGTAGTAGTTAATAAGTTCTCTAAATCCAGAATATACAGTGTACTAACTGATCGAAGTTCATCTATTTCACGGTCCTGAGTCTTATCTCTTGCAGTTCTCTATTTAGTCCTTTGAGAATATTTTCTCCTGGTGATTCTGACTTCAACTTTTCTTCAGTTCCTTATTTGACGACTTTCGTTCCCTTCGTATCCTGTCTGTTCTAGTCTCATCTTTGTGCTCTGTCTTCTGTATAAAGTCTTTCTTGTCACTATGTTCGTTTCACTCACTATCTTTTTTTCAAGTATGCATTCCTGCATTCTGTTACTTCCTGTTTTATTTTGATAGTCTCCCTTCTGTTATGTTCAGTTTTGCTTCCCTTGTCTCATCAGTTAGATTCAGTTCAGCTGTGTGATTTTCCCCCACACATGTCCACTACCACAGTCACCCTCCTGTGTGTACAACGTCTCAGTCTCCCTTCTCAGAGTGTCAGTTCACCTTCCCTCTGCACTTCTGATGTCCCTTCAGATCAGCTGAGGTAGGTGATTGATCTAAATAATTTTACATTGTTTGTAGAAATCTTAAACAAGGAAAGGAGAATGGAGTTGCATTAGATCATGAAAAATAAGCATATTGTTTTTAGTTTATTATTTCTGTCATATGTTGCATTTTTTTAGTCCAATCTCTGGAATGAAGTGATATTTAAGGACAACAGGTAAAACTGTTGCTGTAAGGAAAAATGCATATGTTGTAGTCCATCTTCTGAACTTTGGGCTTTCATGCATTTCATACATGCATTATACAGTCGAGTGTAAAAGCAGCCTGATCCCCTGAAGTCTGTATGAATTTTCCTTTACATGTTTCCTTTCACTTTAAATAATTATTCGATCACAACTTGGCGACTCCTAATCCGGGACTAGATGGTAGATGATGATATTTACTAGAGCTGGGAGATACTGTAATGGTGACTCATTTGGACAATGATTAATTCATAATGATCTCATCCTACCTTTCTTCACAAGTACGTTCTCTGATTCAAACACTGAGAACATTAATCAAACATTAATTCATCACTGGTTGCTCCAACATCAGTTTACATCAAGTAGTAAACCATCATACCAGGTATTTACTCAGTCGCCCTTAATTACTTCAAAGTTACTCCATCAGTATCAAGCTGTTGCTGTCAAGCCTCAAACTTTCCAAATGCTTGTGGGATTACATTTTCTCCTAGCCTGCAGGCCTTGCTAAAAACAGTCAACAAAATCTGTCATGTATTAAAAAGTGCTTGTAGTTTAGTTTTGAATTCTCTTACTCCCCCCCCCCCCTGTACTACTTTAATTCTTTTTTTTTCTCCCCCTTTTGTTAAAATAGATAACGTTACATTCTGCTGGTTTGCAGGCTGGTCAGACTAGATAGTCCCTCACTTTTCACTCTGCTTCCAATACAGGGATTTTCCAAGCTGGTCATAGCTTCAGTATGTAAATCCTTTACCTGCCTTTTATGCTTCATCCTCCCAAATTATTTAAAGAACCCTTCCACCTTAGGCCATCTCTTTTTAATATTGTAAATCTCTTTCCCCTAGCATTATCCCTGAGTCACCTGAAAATACTAGTTTCTAATCCACTGCTGTAGTCAAATGTCAGCACACAAAATCTGACTTATTTTCCCCTTGCTAATAAAATGTTTGGGGAAACTTTAAGATAGCGCCAGGGTCACCGCTCCCCTTCGGTATAAGCAACAAATCCTTTGCATTCAATCATAAAACATTTTCTTCGTTACTTTTCATGAAGAATGTACACACGCTTCCTTCATCATTAATCGCCCTCTGCCTGAAGCTGAAAGGAATAGTCCAATCAGTCATTGTAGTGCACAACGTGCCTGCACCCAACACCACTGAGATGGTAACAGTTTCTGCTAAGCTCTGAAGCCTGGCCTGCCACAAAATGTGTGATCTCATCTTTAGCAGTAGTAAAAAGCGTATCTATTGGATAATAAAGACACGTAAAAATAAATAAAATGAGAGAGCCATCATAGCTGTGATGCCATCTGTTACTTCATTATCAAGAACCTACAAAGAAAGAACAGACTCGTGTTTTGTTTGGAGCAAAACTGAGGAAATGTAGCTGCTTGCATTTACTGGCTGTTTCTGTGGACTGGAGGGACACAGTGCTACAAATACACTGACCAGTTCAGTGGATACGTCAGTTTCCAATTTGAAATCAGGCAGATAATTAACAGTAATTATTTGGGGACATGTTTCTGCACAAATTAATGGTAGCTAGGTTTCTCAGCTGTTTGGTGCTGGGCAAGATTCTTAGAGGAAGCTTTAAAACAACTGCTGGGTAAAGGTGTTGACTGGAAAAAAAAAAAGGTGATTCACATGATAATTTTCTGTTGTTCTGTCTCTAGCGACTACAAGCAGAGACTTGCAAATATGTATAATATTAATGTGAACAGTGTTTAAGATAAAATGGTTCCCTGCAGCCAATTTATACCAATTTATGGGCTTAGGAGTTGCAGTTTTCAGATATGAAAACTGCAGCATCACCAGCAATGACAGCAAAGCAGGGAATTCCATGGCTGGTTGATCCTCACAGTCATCAGACTTAAAACAGCAGCTGTCAGGGTCGGACAACTTCTGAATTCATTAAATCAGCAGAGCTTTCCCCATAGAGAAGGCTTTTCACTGTTTATCTTCATAATGTCTCGCTCAGCTCGCAGAGGGAACTGTCATTCTTATACATGGTGCTAAAACAAGAACTCCATCTTCACTTACTGTAAACGGCACAAAAAGCCACATTGCTGAAGATCTCACACGCTTCATCAACCCTAACTCAAGTTTAATTTATTTCTCGACCTCGGAAATCGAGTAGTTGCTGCTTTGGAGCTGTTAGTAATAACCTCAGATACTACTCCAAAAAGACTTATTGAAATAATGCTATTGTTACAGGGACTTAACAACATTGAAGCTAGATAACACAAATCAATTTAACTACAGGCACGTCTTAAAGACATAAATGTCTCGCGTAATTTTCTTTTTCCAAATTCAGACCAAAATGTAGTTATTGTACTGTGCTATAAAGGTCTCAGAAACATGGAGTCTAACAAGATACGCACTCGGGATGGGATTACCTTTGCCACCAGAAACACAGTGAGGAAACTTGGAGTGATTTTTGATCGGGAGAAGTCAACATTCATCTTGAAAACAATGCAGGACTGTTTTCTTTTATCTGATCAGTGAAAAAGAGAAAATCCTCTAAGTGATGTTGAAAATCTAGTTTGTGCTTTTGTTACTTCTTCAGTAAGGTCTTGAATAATTAGACATGGGGTCCCCAATCCCAGTCCAGGAGGGCCGGTGTCCCTGCAGGTTTTAGATGTCCTTGATCCATCACAGCTGATTTAAATGGATAAATGACCTTCTCAACATGTCTTGCAGTTCTCCAGAGGCCTGGTAATGAACTAATCATGTGATTCAGGTGTGTTGACCCAGGGTGAGATCTAAAACCTGCAGGGACACCGGCCCTCGTGGACTGGGATTGGGGACCCCTGAATTAGACTGTGGTTCACTAAATGCAGACTGGGAGGCAGAGCCTTCAGCTTTCAGACCTCTCTCCTGTGGAACCAGCTCCCAGTTTGGTTTCAGGAGACACACACCCTCTCTATTTTTAAGGTTTTCGTTTTTGATGAAGCATATAGTTGAGGCTGTATCAGGCGACCCTGAACCATCCTTTAGTCTCACTGCTACAGACCCATACTGCTATTGTACCTACAGTGTCACTTTTTAATGTCAGATAGGTTTAAAATGAAAAACACAGTAAATGGAGACAATGTTGTCTAAGACACTTTTTCTGCCTCAGCTTTAGGGATACAAGATTTTTATTTTTAAAAAGTGTATAGGTTATAGGTTTCTATACTTGTAGATTGTCACGAGCGTACATGGTGTGTGTTGTTTTATTGTATGCCTGCAATTTCTGTGCATCACAGAAATACCAGAGTTTGTTTTCCATGTGCACAGCAGCTTCAGACACAATACAGTCAATGCTGTTATAACCTCGAGTAACTTCAAATGAAAAGAATCGCTTCTTTTCTTTTATACATCTCATTCATATCAGCTCTCCCACGTAATTGTGACACACTCGCATCTGCAGACTCTGAAATCACTGTGCTCATAAATGCTCGATTAGTTTGTTCCCCCTCAGGCATCATTTGTGTTACTCGGCAGAAGCTTTATAGCTGCGAATCACAGTAGCTTTTATTTTCATCATATTCTGCGTCTCGTGTCGTAGCTACGCTTATTTAACAGCGCTGGTGATAGAGGACGGTATGTCCAGATTTTAAAGTCTAAAACGCCCCACTACGTGTGAATCCATTAGAACTTTAGTTGTCCTGCCTTCACACAGATTAGAGCACAACCTGCATTTCTTTCATTTCTAAACCATCCCTCTCAAATTTGATCTAGTACCCTTTTGAAGCTTTTTCAAAGGTTAGCGTGCCTGTGAATGCAAACGGTGCTTCTTCTGTGGTAATACTAGGCAGTTAATGTTAAACATTAAATAGCAGAAATTGAATTATGTTTGTTTTCCTTGAGCGGCCAAGCATGCAAAACTGAAAGTAGCTTTAGGGTGGGTGTTTGTTCTTATCCTCCTGCTGTTTGTTCTTATCCTCCTGCTGCTAAACTAATTTCCCCTTGTGGGACAATAAAGAAATTGAATTGAATTGAAATTGAATTGGACAGGGGTTTGACAAATTTTAAATTTAGTTTTAAATGACTAAAATCACTATTAGCCTACTTGAGATGTTTATAATAAAAACAAAATTGGCAATATAAAAAGTCACACAGGCCTGGAGACGGTTGGCAACCACTGGTCAACTAGGAAAAATGTATTTCTTGACCGGTTGGCGAGTGGCTGCTGGAAACTGCTGACTATCAACCTCATGTGAAGGCAGGTAAATCTGGTCACAGAGAAGGTGCTGTGACACAAACTTTCCTGTGACTGCTTTGGTTACTTGCACAGTACTGCAGTTTGCATGGGAGATGCTGACTCATCGCAAGTACTTGCAAAGTAGCCTTGAGAGTGCGAAAACTTGAAAGAGAAAAAGTGTGATGCAACCTGGAAATACAGAGTTTAGTGCTGAAAGCTTTTTTGCCTTTCTGCTGCAGATTGCTGCTACATTTCAAAATGTGCAACTTTTATTCTGAAATGACAGATTGCAGACTTTGCATAAATGAATCTGAGCAGAATCCAAAATATTAGCCTAACGAATTCATCAAATTAATCAGTCTAATTACCTTTGTGTGCCTACTTGAGTGCTAGTAAATTAACATTTTGGATACTTTCTTTTAAATTCAGTAGTTTGTTCCATGAATCACATGAAATGTCAACTGAAACTGAATTTTTTGTGTCACTTTTTACATCTGATTCAGTTGGGTTTGGTTGTCACTTACCTGGTGCAGTGCACCTATGATCTTACGAGTCTCTTGGTATATCATCTCTGGGCTCCAGTGACCGTTGATGTGTTTCAGTGCCTCTGCAATTCGATTGTGTTCTCTGAGCCACAGCGTGTGCAAAGAAGTCAGAGGCAGACCTTCGCTGACCCGGTTGTCTCCTGCACTGAAGCATTCAACTCTTTCCCCTTGCAGATCTTGGTGGCAGGCTGATGGCAGCTTGGTTACAAATGGGAGATAAGGCCTTCCTTTTGGATCTTTGAATCGGGCATTGACAGCAAGTTTTCCATTACGGCCAGGAAGGTCACGAAGGAAGCTCTCCAGCTTTTGATTGTGGCCGTAGACAGCAGAAGCATCAATGAATGAAGTCATGGCATTGAGCTGTTGTCGCTGCAGGGCTTGTCTTATACCAGACTGAAAATTGACAAAGCAGTCTGATGTGGAGCGAAAAAATGGCATACAGCCTTGTAGACCATCATTCATCTGCAGAGAGGATAGAATCATTTACTGATCATTTAGTGCGTCCGGTAAACTTTAAACTACTGCTGATCTACCAAATGCATTTGTTGTCGTTTTTGTCATGGAATTTTGAAGGCCCAATTCACATTTGGAAAAGTAAACGTATGTAATATAAAGCAATGCCTTATCCCAGAGTGAAAGGTGTCATTTTGTCAGATGTCACCTGCAAAGTAGGATGGCATTAAAAAGGACTGACTGGGCTCCTGCTAATAACTAAAGGCAGTTGGAGAAGTTTATAACTCTGGGCAGGTGACCGCTTGTCATCTAGCTAGCTGTAACATCTATGCATGGTGTGAGATTTTTCTCATGCACTCGGTCTCCAGATTACCATGGCTTCCATTTTTTCCATAGTTTAAAGCTAGCTGTCATACAAGTACAGAGGGTCCTATAGTACAAACAGGCCTGGTGACAAAAACATTAACACCATGCTCTTGAACTTTTCAAACAAGGATGCACAGCTCTGTCCATCACCACCACCAGGGAGTTCATAGCAACGGAGATTTTAAAGTTTTTGTTTTTAATGTAAATGGGGTTTTTTGGGAAGTACTACAATGAACCTATCACTGTGTTATTTTATGTATTTAAATATGTGATTATCTCAGGATCAAACTGGGTGAGCTTCACTGGGCTGCTATTGTGCAAAAGTCCAGGAAAAAAGGGATTTTTTTATTTTTTACACAAACAAGTGCAGGCAACAAAAATAAAGAAAATGATGGATTCTCTGTTTACCTTAATGGGAAAGCACGGATGCACGTTTTCACACGTTTTTAAACAGTCCACATCTGACCCATCGGTGCTGGTGCTTTGAGGCGTCAGGGTTATGTCATGGGATATATACTGGCCCCAGTCCACCAGCAGCTGAGAATAGGAATCATCTTTCCATTTAGAAGCACTCGTCATTATTTCCCTGCTGACTGTCCGGGCCTGTAGACAAAGCAGGATTTGTATTTTGTAGTGCTCAAGTAATGCAACACATGAAGTATCAAGATGTTGTTCACTCACTGTGAGTCAATAAGAAATGGAATATTAGGACTCTGATTTATTATCTGAAACACTGTAGTAAATTTCAGCAGTCAGATATGGTGGTAAACTGTTGGCTGGATACAAGTGATGCATATTTGATGAGTTCTCCAACTAAAGGCCCTCACTCTGTGTAATGAATGCATAAATTAGGACTAAAATTGAATTCAAGTGTGAGCAAAACGGTTTCATCTGCTTTTTTGGAAGAAATTATGTTTATCCATATGATAAGAAACCAACTGTTTTTAGGTTATGGATGTAGTGTATACGCTAGATGCAATATATAAATGCGGTTCTAATCTATGTCATCTCACACTCTCCTGTGCTCTTCCTAAATTGCTGTGGACGTTATCTGCTGTGAAACAGGTGAGGAAAAATAAATGAAATGCTACATTAACTCAGGGTTTTGCAGGGCGAGCCGGCTTCATTTCTACATTTCTGTAATTTATCCACCAAGACTTTTGTGTCTGTTGGACCGGTATTTTGTAGATTACCGGGGGAAGTTGGAATCCATTATGGAGCCGTTCTGGGTTCCAGCCTTTTGGTTCGCTCTCCCCGTCTTCGTATTCAGCTGGTAGCCATCTGACCAAGGCAGTGTTGGCTGCTCCCCAGCGAGGATTTTGCCTGACAAAGAGAAACATGAAGTGTGTCCAAAAATACTGCCATGCAAAACTGTATAACCCCTTACTGAAAGCATCATCCAGTTTTCTGGATTATTAAGGTTTAAAATGGTGCATTCAGTACATTCATATAAATTGAATGTACAGAAATGACAGTATCTGTTTTGACGGTTAGTTTGTGGTTATGATCCTGTGAGAAACATCATCGTTGCTGCACATTGACTTAGGATCATTGCAACAGCATCATTTTTATGCTCTTAAATGACTGTTTAAAACCAAAAAGGATTGCAAGAACCTGTCATGTATTTATTTTTTTGTTGCCTTTTGCCTCCTCGTCAACAGCTGGCACACACATTACACACAAGATAACTTATCAGCTGGCGGCTGACAAACATTTCATAGTTCCAGCTTCTTGATTTGAGAATTTTCTACTTTCCTTTTAATTAGACATCACAAGCGAGGGAAGAAACCAAATGATAATAAATGCTCATAGGCAAAACATGCCCTCCTTTATCACCATAATTTACAAAATTAACATTATGACAACATTAAGGCTGAAAACTAGCATTTGACACCAATCTCTTTAGGAAAGTAAAGTAACAAGGAGTCCCCCCCCCCCCCCTTTTTTTTTGGCCATTATAAAAAATAATAATTTTTTTAATCTTTTTAAATAACCCCTGTGCAAGGGTTCTAAAGGGTGAGTTTACCCACAGAGGGCAAGACTGCCTTGCACCAGGCAGAAAATATACTCTTTAAAGCTGTAAAGTGGGGCCTTTAAAATGGGCAAACTATAGGCTTTCACATGCTTTTGAAGTCGGACTCAAGCGGGCAGTGGAGGAGTGGAAGTTTTTGAAGGGGCTTAGCTTAGGAAGCAGGTTCACCTGTTCCCCTGCGAGGAAGAGATCGTGGCTCGTGTTGCATTTCAGTAATTAAAAATAATGAGAAATTATGAATATACAAATTATTGATGAATCAACATTTGAAACTTGACAGGTACTTGAATATTCAAGAATGTTGACTAGTTCAGGAAGTTTTTATTTTTAATTGTTTGAGAAATGCTTTACTAAAAACAGCATGCAGTGAAGTGAACATAACTAAATATATTTCATTAAGTTTAAGATGATGCTGATGATTATTAATACATTTATTTGCTACCTGTATGCATCGAAACTATCAAAACAGATAATGGCTTTTCTAATCCTGACATACTGTAGTTTTGCCTGGAGGCCTAATTATGTGCTTGCTAAGACAAAATTTACATTGGATATGAAATGAAGTTTTCATTTAGGGGAAACGGTTGTTCAGATGTCATTTTAACTACCTGTTGTTGCAGAGTCCTGATATCAGTCGATACTTGTAGAGATGGGTGTACCGACAGGTGGCTGGACTTGTAGGAGGACATTTTGACAGCTCTGCAATCAGCTTCAAATGTTTCCATGACAACAGTTGTTCTTGAGCTAGAGTAACAAAGCAGGCAGAGTTGGATTGATTGTTATGAAACTTTTAAATCTGAGCAAACATTATTGAAATTCTGTTGCTGATCATATGTGGCCGGTTAAACTGTTTTACAATGACAGAACTAGTAAAGGTGGTCTGACTAAAAATGTAATGAAAACTTTTCTAAATGTTCCATCCAAGGTGAAACCGAGTTTCCTAAAAGAAAGAAATTCTACCGGGTGTTGTGAGCTCCTGATTATATCTCTGTTTCACTTTCTTCTTTAGGACACGAAGAGTCTTTTGGAAAACCTCTGCAGCCCTAGAAATGTGCTTCGTCTCAGGGTCGGCGTGCCGAAAAAATTTAAGCATGTGTTGGGAAGCTGAGGGTTTGGTCCACCTAGCGAGAAAAACGGATAAAAGGGCAGTTAGAGTTCCTTTGATCCTTTTCTGCACAGATTATTTGAGGTAAAACTGAGGCAGACAATCTATGATGGCGTATTACCGTTGCCTGACGTCGAGTAAGTCTTCATCTACATCATAAAGGCTTTCTTGATGTGATGAAATAAGTAATTCTTTGATGGATGAAGCTGGAAAATGTATTTTTTGATCAGCATGAGACATTTTAAAAATATCATTTCATCTATCATGTTCTTATTCTGTAATGATGATATTAAATATACATGGATCAAAGTAACTTGTTTCTGAGATGCTACAAAGTAGTTCACACTGGGAGTAGTTGAACACCAAAACATGACTAAGGAGATATACCGTTTGAACTAAAACTAGAAAAAGGAATAACAAAAACAATAATTAAATTGACAATTCACATGTGACGTTTCATTTTCAGTTTATCAGTGAAACTGTTCAAGCATCATGTATTTATGTGAGCAGACTAAAGACACGGAGATCTCTGGGAGAGATCTGGGGCATTAAAACACGATGACGTTAATGCTGCGTAAGCACTGAGCAACACTTGTCCTTTTCCACTGCACAAAGTTCAAGTGGTTCAAGTGCGTTCCTGCACAGCGGTCAGGATTAAAGAAAAAATGGAAGGGGAATGGTCAAAGGGGTTTCAAGGATGGGGAATGTAAAGTACAAGTGAAAATCTGTAGTTTCTTATTACAGTGCAAAACCGATAGTAATCTGAGTAACAACCACAAGTAAAAAGTAACTAAACTGTTTGACTCACTAACAACATATGAAGGTAGTTAAGCTACAGCCAGTCTTCAAAATATAGTTAAACAACAACAATCTTTATTTATAGAGCACATTTAAAAACCAGCGGTATACCAAAGTGCTTAACATAAGAGACAGAGAAGTAACACGAGTATTATAAGGCCTCAGCAAAGTATCAAATATACTCACAGGTCAATGCCACTAATACACAGGGGTAATATAAAATGCATATTAGAATAAAAACATAATAAAAGCACAAGCCACAAATTACAGCAGATTGTTTTGTTCACTTCTGCCACACTGCTTTGTACTAATGTACAGTACTTTTTAAATATTATGTGGTATTTGAGTCTGTACTTTACTTTAATATTTCAAAATTTAAATATTGATAACTTGAGAACTATCCACATGTGTTTTTAAAACGGTTGATATTTCTAGTTGTTACAAGTGAATTTTCACTGCTTTTCACTTACTTAACTAACTTACTTTAAAATAAATAGATGCCATTTTGGAACATTACATTAAGTAATTTGTCTGGTATTTGGGCGGCACGGTGGTTTGCGTGGGTTCTCCCCCAGTACTCTCCTCCCACAGCCCAAAGACAGTTAGTGGGGATAGGTTAATTGGAAACACTAAATTGCCCATAGGTGGGAATGTGTGTGTTAGCCCTGCGACAGACTGGCGACCTGTCCAGGGTGTACCCTGCCTCTCGCCCTAAGACAGCTGGGATAGGCTCCAGCACCCCTTAAATGGACAAACAGAAGCTGGATGGATGGATATTAAATCAAGTAATTTGTCCAGTATTTGCATTTTTCATTATTAACGTAGCATTCAAAATGTTGGTATTAACAAAATATTAAAATACACATTAAATCATTTGATTTTAAATGATTAAAATAAGGCAACAAAAGGTGAAAGTGTTCACTTGAACTTTACTGTGAACAAACATTGTTTGTTTTAATGTAATAATGGATGGATAATAATGGATTGGATTTATATAGCGCTTTTCTAGGCACCCAAAGCGCTTTACAATACCACTATTCATTCACTCTC